TCATAGTCATAGAACATTTGTTCTTCAATATCCGCATCCATCCCTAGAAAATTCAATCCCATTCATAGCCAGATGCTTGCTTGTTTTTAAGATTATCCATTTTGATTAACTACTTTTACCACTAAGCTGGCTGATCTCCCACATTCCATCCTGCATAAACTTGAAGTCATCCAAAAATCTGACGCCAGTTTCTTAACTTGTGCCAAGTGCCAATCCCCTACTACCCTTATATTTACTGGCCTGTTGGCTCCTGGTCTTGAATTTAAAATTCACATCTTTGTTTTCAAACCCTCTATGAACTCACCCGCCCTCATAACTCTAGGAGATCAACGTAGCCAACTAATATGGGCCTCTTGTGCATCCATCGTTTTAATCACTTCACCATTTCGCCCTCAGTTGCCTAGGGTCCAATGTCTGGAATACCCTCTTGAAACCTTCCCACTTACAGGGCACTCCTGAAGACCTAACTGTTTGATCGAGCCTTTGGTCATCTAATGTATTATTTCACTTAATGTCATTTTTTTGCTTAGAATGCTCTTGTGAAAAATCTTGATATTTCATTATAAGAAAAAATATTGTGTCATTTGTAATTAAACTGAGTTTGCGCTTCACCGTGTGTTAGATTTGCTGGCACCACCATCTTTAGATAGAGGGACCTACTTGGTCTAGTGCGGTAGCTGAAATCCACCTGGTGGTCCAACGAGAAGAGGCTTTTGTATTGAGCAAAAAGTAATTTATTGCACCTTAGCAATTAGTTACAAGTTAAAGTAAAATCCAGACTAAAGCGCTGCTCTCTCATCAGTGAGAGATGACTGTGGTGGTTTAACCTGAGGGTCACCCTGCCTTGGGAAGAAGGGACAGCTTGAGAAGGACAGTCCTTCATGGTAACCTCAGCTGGTGTGGGAATTGAACCCATACAGTTGGCATCACTCTGCATCACAAACCAGCTGTCCAGCCAACTGAGCTAGCCACCCCCATATAACAACATTGTTAGGGAGATCATGAGGAGGACCAGAGATTAAGTCTCACTCCTTCAATATCCCAAGCTGTTCTCCTTTTATAACATCATCATCGAGGTGGTGCTTATGGCACTCAGTTCCAATTCCATTAGACTTCTACATTTATATAGCACCTGTTGTAAGTCAGCAAATGGTCCTGTTGTTGATGCCAGAGTGCCAGGCGTTATTTCTATGGGCTCACTCGTTAGAAGTGTGAATGTAAAATTCTCCAAAGACTCTATTTTGTACGGTCAGAACTGTACACAGTGCTAGAAAAGAATCTTGACTGGTGAGCTAATTCAAATGCCTTTAGATACCCATGGGATACATCGTGTAATTAGCTTGTTCAAACAGCCACATATTGATTTAATCTGTGTTTGATTCCATTCCTACCATTTTGCTTTTTCAGATTTCCCAAAAGACATCTACAGGCACAGTAGACATTTTTTTAAAAAAAAAGACAATTGGAACAGACAAATGTATAGCATTCATTTTACCATGAAGTTTGTTGTTTTAAGATTTAGAATTTTGGAAAGAATATGTTTTGAATGTCGGTTACTAAAAATTTTGTATTCTGGAAGTTTCCAGATTTGGTCCCTGCCTTTAGCTGGTTTCAGTTGCCATAGCAGTGAAGTTGGGGTTGGGGTTAGGATGAAGGATACAATGAGTCAAAAACCCCGACTTAAACTTGGTGACAATTCTCTGCTCCAATCCTTACTTAGCAATCCCTGTTCAAGGTGAAACGTTGTGGTGATCAGGGGAGCTGGATTCAGCAATATTCAGTCACCTCTCGAGATACCCTTCTGTACTCACGCACAAAGAACAGCCACAAGAGGAGTCCAGAAAGTAAACAGCATCTGCCATCCTTCCAGCTGAGAAGGAGGTTGGAAATTCAAACAACTAATTCGAGATGGGGCATCTTCATGGGGGGGCACCTGCGCCAATAGCTGAACAGGACAATCTAGGGGAAGCAGCAAGTCATTATGGGTGCTTGTTTGGCACTTGTCCCCAGTCACTGTAGACAGGGATCACTTAAAGTGATATGAGACAGCTCATGGGAGGTGTTGCCATTTCCCTCAGTAGTTGGCTTGTGGCTCCCTGGTGCAATAATCAAAGTCTATGACCTTGCAGGAGAGCTTTGGGCATCCTTCAAGATGTCTGGTTCCAGGTCCCTCATCACACAGCAAGTCCTTGGGCACGCAATAGTCTTCTGTCTTGCAGATGCCCAAGTCATTTGATGCACTGAAATAAACCTGGGGCCTCAGCCTTTCAGAGGACTACCCAGTTTGTGACTGACCTAACCAAGATGTTTCCATAATGAGCCGCAGGCAGCTAGGAGGTAATTGTTGAGCTTCTTTACGTGATAGCAGTATGTCATCCATATTTCACAGCTATAAGAGAGGATGGTGAGAACATGAGCCCCATAAACCATCAGCATGTTCCCAAGGATCAGTCCAATGCTATCTCTGGTGCAAATCATGAGCTGGCCAAAACGCTGATCACTGCTTTCCCTGCTGCAAGGGCATCAGAGTTCAGCAACAAGATACAGTTTGCGTGTAAGGTAGCAAAACTTGCTCAGCACTCATCCCAGTAACAGGAATACGACTTTAGGAGATCAAAAAAAAAGAGATTGTCAGGAAAAGGAGATGGGGTGGATGAGGGGCAAGACAGAGGTTGCAGTTGAGTCTGAAAAAGTAGAAAAGACCACCAAAGGGTATATAAGATGCAATTACGATGTCCACCGAAGGTAAGGGTTTCATCAATTTTAGGTGGATAGATTTTTTTTCATTTGGATTGTTCAGAGGACAAGACACCATAAATCACTGTTCTACACTCACCAGCAGCAACCTGTTTGTGTTCTTTGACCTTAACATTGTGTATGAAAGGCACAGCTGAAGCTCCACTTTAAAAGCCCGATGCAACATTCTGAGAGATCAAACAGACTACTAAATTTCAGCAGCCTGCAGTTCAATGAGAAACATGAAAAGAAAAAGCAATGAGTGCCAAGGAAATGTAAAAGCAGAAATCTAAGCTTTGCTTGACTGAACAGAATGCAAACTGTCCAAACAGAATTAATTTAGGACTTTCACTACCAGCAAAGACTTTGATCCTATTTATCAGAAAAGAAAGTAACTTGTGTCCACTTGTTATAATGAAAGGACACATGTCGGTAAGACAGGAATGGCACTGTCACACCTAGAACCAATCTCTAGGTGAGGCCATATTCCACATGATGATAGTGGACTAACTCAAATCCTGAGCCTGGGAGGAAGGACGAGCAAGTGGACCAAGTGAAAAGCTAACCTGCAAATTCAAGGGGCAAATGGAGGTTTGAGATATAAAGCCATTGGGTCACAGAAATGTACAGCATGGAAACAGACCCTTCAGTCCAACTCGCCCACGCCGACCAGATATCCCAAATTAATCCAGTCCCATTTGCCAGCATTTGGCCCATATCCCTCTAAAACGTTCCTATGCATATACCCATCTTGATGCCTTTTACATGTTGTAATTGTACCAGCCTCCACCACTTCTCCTGGCAGCTCATTCCACACATGCACCACCCTCTGCGTGAAAAAGTAAGTGTAAAACCAGAAAATAAAGTACACTGCATGTGTGTGAACATTTCAGAAAGCACTAAAGCTACCAGGAAACCTCCTCAGCATCTTTATTTTTTTATTTGGTACAACTTCAGCAAAAATATTGCACAAATTACAAGCCAGAGTACAGCTTATGATCTAAGAGTGCAGGGAATGGTCTGAATATGTTGGCTCCCCAGACACCACGGTGGTTCCAATATTCATCTTCAATCCCTTCTCTGGGATAGCTGCCCACTTTAAATGTGACTCACACATGATTATCTGTATCTTTGTGTGTGTGGCATCATAGATAGGTTATGACACAATACAAGGAAAATAAGAGTGCGAGTAGGCCATTCAGCCCATCGAGCTTGCCATTCAGCATGATCATAGATGATCCTCTATGTCAATACCATGCTCCTCTCTCCTCATATTCTTTGCCTGCAGGCATCTATTCCTTTGTTAAATATATTCACTGACTCAGCCCCCACATCCTTCTGTGATAGAAAATTCCACAGCTTCACCACCTTTTCAAATGGAGAAAAAAAGCCTCTTCATCCCAGTCTGAAGTGGCCTACCCTGTATCCAGATACAATGACCCCATGTTCTAGAAATTCCAGCCACTTTGGGTGGCGGGACACATCAGGAATATCACCCCTGAGGTTGTCGACTTGCTCGCTGAGCTGGCTTGTTCGCGTTCAGACGTTTCGTCATCATGCTAGGTGACATCATCAGTGATGACGTGATGTTGTTCTCCTCCGCTCGGAATTTATACTGTCAGGCCCGCTATGGTGAGTAGTGTCATTTCCAGTTTTGATCTGTATGGGTTTGTATATGGGGTCCAATTCTATATGTTTGTTGATTACATTACAACCTGAGCTACAGATCTTTGCTAAAACTTTAAACATCATCCCTGAATCCAGTCTGTCCAGCTGTTAGAACGATTATACATTTCAAAGAGATCCTCCCATTCTCTGTAACCCCAGTGAATACAGGTCCAGTTGAATGACTCTCTCATCATACAGCAATCCTGCCATCCCAGAAATTAGTCTGATGAATCTTAACAAATACTTCTTAATTACTTCAGTTTTTGAAGGGAAGGAGTTGGTCTACTCAAAGCAGAGACGGCTCATAGAAAGATTGTCAAAACCATTCATGATTGGAATGAGGGAATAAAGAGAAACGGTTCTTAGTGATAGAGTCGACATTAGCCAGAAGAGACATATTTACGGTAGTTGTTAGAAGAACCAAAAGGCAACATGAGGAGCTTTTTCTTGCAATGAGCTCTGATGATCTGGAATACATTCCCTGAAAAGGTAACAAAAGTAAATTCAAAAAGACGGTTGTACAAATACTTGAAAGGAAAATAATTACAAAATTACAGGGAAAAAAGA